CCAACAAACCTCCACATCAACCCCTACGCAACTTTCAATTTCAAACGTCCCTTCTCAACGAGCCTCGAGAAAAACAATGTCGCACCAGTGACGTCACTAGATTGGAGAATTCGATGCAACGATCGGCGCGCACCTCTCTAAATAGCCGCGTCTCTCCAAGCCTAAAAGAAGACGAGAGAGAGAGAGAGTGTGTATATGCGCGCGCGAGCGCTTGATGGACACAGGAAGGAAAATTCTCCTTCCCGAGTAAGCGCTATATCGGAGCGGAAAGGGTAGGGAAGGAAGTGATGGGCTCCCCACCAGGTCGCTACTTCCTGTGGGCTAAACTAGTCGCGTGTGAGCGCGGTAGGCGTGGTCTCCAGGTAGCGGAGACGCGCAGGTGAGAAGAGAGAAACCCGAGCAGGTAAGCGGCTGAGCCACGGGCAGACTGCAACGCGCGCTTCACGCGAGGCCGTGCGTGTACCCTCCGCGGCCAGACCGGGGTCAGTCAGGGTCCTGCTGTTAGTCAGGACGCTCCGAGAGCATCTTCCTAAAGGAACGAGCAACCAGACAGCTGTTAACGTACCTGGCCACCATTCCTCGTCGTCTGCTTTTCTACGTCTACATACTTCGAGATCGTCGTCGTCCTTTTAAGTTACCTATTATCGATCGGACGAGGAAGAGCATAAGTAATCGAACTCTGGTTACGAACTATCTGTAATTCCCAGTGACTGGGGGAATCATCGTAGAAGTGTTTCTCTCGAAAAAGTGCGCCTTTGCTTCGATCTCGGTCGAAGTGTCTACGGTATCGAACTGCCTCGAACGTGTCACGCGTGAACCAAAATTTGGAGAACCACGTGGGGGAAATCAGGCGACTCCAGTGAATGGGGAGAAAACTGTACTCGTGATTTTAAGACTGTATGTGGGGTTGATGTACACCGCTTGTGCGTGAGAATAATCGAGGATCTCTAGTGCAAGTAAGGAGACTGAGACACTCGCTGCGAGCATCCATGAACTGTTCGAAGATTTAGAGGACCGATCGATAGACGAAACTGGACGCAATGTGTGGTGAGATTCTTCTTGGTTTTTTTCTTTTTTTTTCTTTCGTTCGTGTTCTTCCTGATAGGCGTACCTTTCTTCCGGGATGACGAGAAACGTCCGAGGGCAAAGAAACGAGTTTTTAAAGGACGTGATGCTTGAGAAAATGGATCGTGCTTTTAATTTCGTTCTTTCTTATGATTTTGTCGGTCTTCTGTTGTTTCTCTCGACGGTATTGATGTTCTGTCGGTCAAATGACGAAGATACTCCGGGTGATAGGTTTTTTACACTCTTCTTACCGATCGAAAACACCTTTTTGTCAATTATATGGATCCTCGAAGCATTAAGATTATACGAGATTATACAACACATTCCGTTTAAGGCGAGTGCCAGTATCGGATTAATCAGATTAGTTCTACTTAATGTACTTCCAGTTTATCGATTTTTAATGATGAAAATTTGTTACTAAATTTATCACTGTGTTAATTAACTTCAGTTTTTAGTTGATTCTGTAAATTTCTAATTGTGCGGATTTTCTAAATGTCCTAAGTTCGTAAAATTAGTCTATGCCTAAGTACTGTATTTAATTTAAAAGTACAATTTATAAATCGCTAAGTGTTAATACTAAATTTAGTTTAAACAAAAGAAAAAACGCATTACAAGTTTCTTCTTTTGCGAAACACTGAGTATTGAAAAAAGTGCAAAAGTTTGTTACTAAATCTCATAAAATCCGATATTTCCTTCGAATCAATTAGCAACATTTCAAACAGTGATATTAAAAATTAGCTGTGCTAAATTGTCAAAATTTAAAACTGTGTAGTGTTGATTCCCAGCAAACGCGTAAAAAACACTCGCCTTTCAGTCCTGTTAAAGTGATTGACAGCGTTGTTTGCGACCTTGCGTGCCTATCGTATTAAAAAATATGTTAAATGCATACATATATTCAGAAGGAAACAGAACGTTATTAGCGCGCATCAATGGGCGATGTATTATACATATTCCCAACGACGTTAAAAGGAAACACGAAAAATCGTCGCAGAAATCACACTTCCTGTTTCAGCCTATCTCCAATCAAACTCACAGTTAATATTCAAATTGATCCATTTCACTTAGTACAATTTCATATTTTCAACCAGCGAGAAAGCGATCAAAGTCGTTGTATTATTTAAAAGACTTAAAATAGTGTCATAATTCATATAAAAAATCCGCTTCGTTGTAAGTTTGTTTTTACGGTGGAATAAATTCCAGTTCTCTTCGCTCGACAAAAAGATCAAGTGTTTGCGTAATCTAACTCCGTCGTAAGTGCGTGCCAGATTTTAGTGGACAGCTGTTTTTATCGGCGATTAAGAATCTCTTGGCGGCGTGGTCGCAGAAGTGTTCATTAAGAAGGAAGAGACGAAAACGTAGACACTTGTTTACACATATAATTTCGAACGACCAAGAACCAGCCAGCATGTTCGATTGATTCCAATCTACGATCGTGTTCGGGAGATTTCCAGTAAATCGTTTCATTCTCGGTTATTTCTACCTTTCCGTTTCGTTTATTTTCGGTCTCCGATATGCGGAAGAAATATGATTAAATGCGAACGAAATGTCGTTACTTGTTACCAGAACTTTCTCACATTTGTCGATACCAGGTGTATATATAAATTAGGTTGAAAATTGACGACTTGAAATTTACAGAATTCTTTTTTCAATCACTCTTTCTAGCTTTTTATTTACTTGCAAACGCGAGAATACTTAGTCACCAAGCACGCGTACTTCGAATTACTTGTAACTTACTTACCTACTGTTTGAAGAACTGTGTGTGCAAATTTCTGTATACAACGATATTCACACATTTTCGAGTTAATTTTGTCGTTTTTTTACGACAAATACACTTCGTCGTTAATGAAATATTTCGGTTGGTTCCTGGAAAATTTGCTCGGAATTATGCAAGTTACCGACAGAGCAGAAAAAATGTCACCAAGTGGACAATAACGAAAGACAAGTCTCACGACGATATGTTATACATAAGTATATTAGCTTAAATATCCAGAAATGATCGTATCTTCTTAATGTGCTTTGTTCCGCGAACCATTGAAAGTCACGGCATAAATTCGTCAAAAAGCCTCCAACTATCTTCGTAATATTTTTTTCGTTCTTTTTCTTTCTGTATTGTCTGTATGACAATATGTAGGTAACGCTAAAAGTTGACTCGATAAGTAACGGTCGGTGATTGACATTAAACTCGGACATTACGGTTCGCTATCTATGCAAAGTAGGAACCATTCGTATATACCTGTAGCTACAGTACACTGGTGTTTGCAAATTGCATTACAGATTTATTCAAACAGCAAACTACAATTATTAAGTACTTTTACGCGCAAATACGAACGTTATCTGTTACTTGACAACCTTCAACTTAACGATTAGCGTTTTCTTACACGCCCGTATGTGTGTATTACAGTTCGTATCTCTTTACGTTTGCCTGAGCAAAAGCAGCCCGTCGTGCGAGGGTTACTCGGTAAATAAAGAAGTAGGATTGCAGTTCAGTTGGAAAATAGGCGTCTTAAGTAGCTGTATCCTACAATTAACGTGATCTCTCTTCTTACAGGATGTTATTCATTAATTCTTTTCTTTTTGCAGTTTAAACGCCACTGTTCCTTCGTGAAATTAGAGTTGTAACTGATAATTGTGAATGTCCGAGATATTATTCCTGATTTTGCTGAATTTATCGAGCCTGTTGCCGGTGTAACTTATCATTTTCGAATGTTCGTCATTCTTTTTTTTTTTTGCGCGTTGTTAAAATGCACTGAAAGTGTAAGCTTTTCAACGATAAAACGATTGTTCTAGAGATTAAATAAAATGCGTACGGTGTGTCTTTATTTTGCACTCGAATAGAAATATCGCAAATTTCGAATAAGCATTTTAAATCATTATTTTAGGCGAAAGTTATTAATGTAAATTTCAAAGTACCTTTTATCTAAATTTTTCGTGTTCAATCATACAGATTTGAAAAAATAATGAAAAAATTCGAAGCTTTCCAGAATATTGTTTAAAGAGATTAGAAGCATACACGATACAGCTTGTCTCTATTTTGTTTTCGCTTCTAGACTTTGAAAAGAACGACGGACAGATGAAACCTCATTGATCGGCAGTTTGTTAGAGTCTGTCGCGAATAAAGTTCATTGAACAATCACGCCCGTTTGAGCCTACGATCAGATTAGAGTTCTGTCTCCTGGATGGGCACGCGCACGCATGCTCTACAATGTATAATTCATAGCTGCCGTTCGAGGGTCGAGCGTGTTTGTGATTTTCTCTATAAATCTGATAGCTGCTACTTGCTATGACTCGCGACAATAATGCATTAATTCAACTCGCTTCTAAAATCCATTTTCTAGGTGAAATAGTTGTGATTTCTCCGAAGCTTTCTCCTTTAAATTTGACAAAAATCGATCGTTTTTGGAAAATAATTTCTCTAGCTAAAAATTTTATCTGTTTCTATTACTTTCTCAAAATCGTAATATTGCCAGGTATAAATTCATTCAAAACTTATACCTAAATAATACAATATTTTACAGTGAATTAACGAATCTTTGCACGTCAAGATTTCGAAGGTATAATGTGTAAATAAATTTAAAATCCAATTTGTATAAAAACAGTTCTGACTTTTCCCAAGCTTTCTCCTCAAAATTTGACAAAAATAGAGTTTTTAGTAATATAATGTTTTGTAAAATAATCTTACCAATTAAAACTTTGATCTATTCCTATTACTCTCGGTGTAAAAATACATTTTCTCAAAATTTGAATAGTGCCAAACATAAATTCATTCGAAACTCAAAACTTATAGATAACATTAAAAATGTTATAGTGTATTAACGACACGTTGCACGTTAAGATCTCCAAAGTATCTACCTATAATGTGTAAAAATCTACAAAAAATGAAAGAAAACATCGTGTACAATGTATAAAAAACAATGTCCTTACGGTGTGTCCATCAGAAGCGGTACCGCGGACTTGGTACGTGAAACCGGAACTTCATTGCAACGCCATTGGAGTTCCGGCGGGCGCTCTGTCACCCCCGGCCACGCTTTCACCGCCCTGCAGTCCCAGTGTCACACTGCCGCCTTCGCCTTGGAGTCCTGGCGCGGCAGGAAGTAGCCTGAGCACTGCGACGTCCTCCAATCCTTCTTCGGTATCTTCCTCGAGCCTCAGCCAACCGACGCCAGACCGTTTTAGCGCTTTCACCCTCGTCTCAACCTGCAATTCTGACGCGAGACTGCAGAATCTACCGTTGACCACTACGGCCGCGGCACGAGGTAATACGATCACCTGTTTCGCCGGTGGATATCATCGATAACATCACTTTGCTGTCGCATTTAGTACGGTTTAGTAACGCGGAGCCTGCCTGAAATCAGTTAACCAGTGTAATTGCCGTTTTCTGGCTTTTCGACGATCTTGCAGGTCACGGTGTAAATTGACAGAACTGTACAATTTAAAAAATGAGAGGAAAAGTGATAAACTGTAGAGATAGTACGATTTATTTTAATATAGTTTTTTTTTTTTTTGTGTTCAATGGTTGAACTGATTCTGCTTGATCTTTCTATCTATTTGATTCGTAACTTCAAAATGGCTCCTTTTTTTAAATAAATTATTCATTTATTTGTTTGTGTCTGTTATTATAGAAATAACGTCGGATATTAGCATTAGTTATGGAAAAGATAGGATCATTTGTCTTGTGTCATTTAATAATAGCGTTAATTTCTTTCATACCAGCCTCTTATCTTACTCCGATCTTAATTTTTTAATGACAATTTTGATTCGCGTCACATTCAATAAGTGTCTTAATACTTGTGGACCAGAGTGTAAATTAAGTCTTTTTTAAACCATTTTATAAGTGAAACCGGTATTTTCTATAATATTAACCCCTTGCCTTACTATTTCTTCATTTCATTTCATTTCATTCGTCTTATACAGCATTAAATAAAAAAAAGTCAAAATATGATATAAAATTTGTATATACCAATCATCATTCTTAAATTGAAGCTAAAGTTTGAGCAGAAATTTAAATTCAACAGAAAAACAATTCTTTGGTCATAATCTGCACCACAAGCATCACTCGTCATTCTAAGGCAAGGGATTAAAAGAACAAGCAAAGTAATTTCATTGAATATTCCAACAATTATCAATATTTTCCAAATTCTTCTCATCGCAACTTGCTACCAAAGTAAAGTACAAAATCGTCGTATCTGATTTCCTTTCTACTCGAGTCAGCGCACGTCTAAACTCCGTAAAAAATATAGTCGTATTCTATGTCATAGCAGCTATCCAAATTTAGAAACGGAAATCTCCTTATTGGATCACCGTCTTATTCTCGATCGACATATTCATATCGTTGATATCTTATCGATATAATCCGGCCAAAAATAATCTCTCCCCTTCATGCTCGTAGTAGTAAGAATGAACTTCTAGCTGGAGAAAGGTGAAAGAAACGCGGTGATAGGTTGGTGAACCGAAATTTCCTGACTTTCAGAGATGCGCTGCTGCTTGATGTATGGGGGTTACGGGTCAAGTGGGGCTGCATGGTGGGCACGACACATGAGTCTCTTACTACCCCATTCCCTGCTGCCACCCTCGAGGATCCCTAGCCAGCAAAGCACACCGCTCGCAAATTGCTCCTCTTCTATTCATCCGGGACCCCTGAACACGTCTAGAGCCGACTCACCACGAAGATCCACCCCGGAGAAAGTGAAATTCGGTGAGAATTGCAATTAACTTGATCGGAATGATTTTTCTCGACATTTTCACGGAACGATCGTGAAGATCAGTTGAAGTATTGCGAGCATGACGGGGGAAATTGTTGGGAACGGAGAAAGTAGTTTTACTTTGTAATTCGGTCTTTCGTGAATTAACCCCTTAACATATGACAACGCGTCAGACTCGCGGCAGAGATTCTGGCGAAGATGTGACAAAAATCGTTATATTGGTAAGAAAAATTTATTATAATCGTAACTTTCGTTTGAATTTTTAAGACTGCGGATTACGAAGTGTAATTAATTTGTGACAGATCAGTTTTAGTTACCTGATACAGTACTAAAATAGAAAATGGCTGACGCTTAGATGCACAGTCAGAAAAGAAATCATAGGTTAAGGGGTTAATAGGAAATTTTTGTGTGATTTGCTTGAGGGATAACGTGAGGGAAACGTATGCTAGATTTGTCGATTAAGTAACACTTCTGTGTCATAAACACACCGAAAGGGAAGATTTATCGAATTTATTTGTGCGACATAAGGTATCGCGAAGTTCGAACAATTAACTACGCTATCACTTCGAAATTAAACTTACTTAATTATTTATCAATGAACGAATAATTGTATCTCCGTTAACCTTTTTTTCCATAATATTTAACTTTTCAAAAGACTGCAAAATTAATTGAAAAAGTGCAACCAGGTCTTCGTCCAATCGTATCATATCGAATTCATCGAATCAGCGAACGAACGAAAATGAAATAACCGAAAATAACGACGGTCGTTATCATTCACCGCGGTTTCCTGAAAAATTAGCATCTCGTGTAAATTCCGCCGAGGTTGAATTTCCATGAAATTTTTCGATACGTATGCCGGACGAAGGAGCGTAAAAATACACGGAGGCCTTGAAAAAGGAGCCAGCTCACCGACAATTTGGTCGTAAGTAGGTAATATCGATCCTGTTCCACGGGGCACTTGGCAAACGCTCGGTTATCATCATCGACGTTTACGCGTATCGTTATCGGCAACAAAGAGGAAACCTGCTATTAAACCAATTACGAATCCTTTTCGGTGTTGTACACCGTCTCGATTTCGATAATTACCAACGATTACGCGACGATATTTCTGCGCAGTCTGTCGAACAATACGGAATTAGGTTCGCGCTTATCCTTTTGTTCCGACGATACGCAAACCAAAGGTGTTCGTTTAGAATTTTCATTAGGAAAAAATTTCAAAATACTCGATGTCTTTCTGTTCGTTGAAAACAGGTTTGTCGAATACGATAATCCTTTTCTTTTTTTAATTTTCTACTTTCGCGTTGGATTTAGGTGCGTTGAAAAACTTTGGAATAAAGTTTGTTTAAGGCGAGCTTACAAAATTATGAATTTTGTACAGATAATTCGAGAATTTTGGAGAATACTCTGAAGGATATTAACGATATTTAAAAAAAAAAGCATAGTTTTCGTAGAAATGCAAACTTACGTAGTGTTCGAATATTTTTGGGAGTAACTGTATGTGCTACAAAATTTTGATATACATTTCACACATAATTTATTGTCATATTCGCGAGCAATCAATTCGACGATAAATTCCTTTAATTGTCCGATAACAAATAATTAATAACGTTTATGTTAATGTACACTATACTTTTCCCTATTCTCGACAAAGCAACTATTTTCTGTATTATCATAAAAAATGCATTTCCTCATGTCAAATAACTCGAAATGCAATTTTCAAGGTGATAATCCATCGAACTAACTGTTGTACGTTAAATTCGTGAAATTAATCTATTACAGAAAAACGTTGATTTATTTTTCTGACATTTAAACCGAATTTCACGAATTCCTCAATCTGCTCGAAACACTTGCTTATTTTTTCTAAAAATCGGAATAACGGAGACAATTCTGTTGATGCATTTTCCAGAAGAGGAAGCGCCATTGAACTTGAGTACCAAGCCGAACGATATTTCGTCCACTGTGGGGCGAAAAAGTGAAATTTGGTCTCCGGGAACGGTGTGCGAGAGAGAAGCAAAGGAAACAAGAATACCACCATCTAGGAGTCCATCCTTGACACCTGTAATCACTCGGCAAATCCATCATTCACCATTGACACCACCCTCCTCGTCGGAAAGGACATTTCAGGTCAGTTCCCTAGTTCGAATCTTTCTTCTAAATCTCAAGAAAATTAAGCCGGAGGTTGGAGGATGAAAGGAGAGACGACTGATTTATTATGCAAGCTTCAAATGGTCGTTACTACTGTTCTATGATCAATACACCGGGTGTCCCACTTTTTCCCGATTAAACTTTGTCGGTAGATATGTTCCATGGGCATAGGAAAGAAAAAAGTTTAAATTAGAACCTTTTTCAAACGTGAAATTCGAATTTTTATTAAATCGAAGTCTCAGCAATGAATGGAAGCCATATTGGTTTCATGTTAGACGACATTCTTCGTTGTAAATTAAGTTTATCTCCCAAAAAGTACCACGAAAAGGTGAGAATTTTTGCTTCAAAGAAATTAATAGTGAAAGAGGAAAGAAAAAGTACAACCACCTTTAATTAGATGCAAAGTTAGAACCTTTTTCAGATGTGAAATTCGAATTTTTATTAAATTGAAGTGTCAGCAATGAATGGAAACCATATTGGTTTCATCTTAAAAGATATTCTTCGTTGTAAATTAAGTTTATCTTCTAAGCAGTGCCATGGAAAGGTGAGAATTTTTGTTTCAAAGAAATTAATAGAAGAAAGAAAAAAGTACAACCACCTGGTATAACTGAGTCAGACAGTGAAACAGGTTTTCGGAGAACACTGTGGATATCATTCCAGAAAATCTCCATAGTGGGTTCGTAAACACTTGTTCCAACCTTCCGATAGTTCAACAGCCTCGAGCTCGTAAAAAGAAATTGCGATCAACCTGAGACATATTCGAGTGGTGTTATTTTTGCGGTGATCATATTTTGCCTAGTTTCAATTTTGTGTGAAAAACATATTTTACCAAGTGTCTCTACGTTAAAAAATTAAACTGCTCTGATATACACCACCGACCAAAAGTTTGGAATCACCTCCCAATTTTCATCAGTACTGAATCTGCTACTAATTTTTTACAGACTTGATATTGATATTGTGGAGATAAATAGCAACTTATATCGATTGATTTGAACGATACAAAATTCGCTAAAAAATTCTTAAAGCTGCTGACTTTTTTCTGGAAATTTTTGTGTAACTTGCAATGCGCAGTGATTCCAAACTTTGGGCCGGTAGTGCATTCTCCAAGTGAACAGAAATACGAAAATGTTTCAATTTAACGACTTCAACTTTGACTAAACTTCCTCTGTTTGAATTAGAAAAAAAAATAATTTCCATTAGAACTAGAAAAGTTCTATTTCTACCATTGTTTAAAGATCTATTTCGAATTTCATCAAGCACTGCCTCCATTTTGGGGAACAATTTTAACTACGCAGTTGAGGGCAATTTCGTTCACAGTTTTTCCTACGTAAATTTATATCTCTATCAATATTGTCACACCTTACGCTGCTGACATGTATATTTTGCTTATTATAATAATCGTGTCACGCATCTCTATAGCAATTTTTCTTCTGATGGAATCCACTACTTTTATCGCAGCTAAAGTGGAAATTGTGTTATCGCAACAGGCGCTTTGAAGTATTATTGAAATGGTGCGGGCATATTTATCCTATTCAAAGCGAGTAAATAAAATATCTGAAATTGGAGTAAAAAACATGTTTAAATGTAATTCAGAATCTGCACGTAACAATTCATTCTGTTAATCCTGAGAAATATTTCTATTTTTAATAAAAAGGAAGTAGTAATAATATAATATTTATTTACATATCTATTTAACGTTAAAATATATTCTACAAAAATCTGCACACACCTATCCAATTTCGAGTCAATGATATATTCTTCCTAACGAATGATTTGAAGTCACGACATATTCTCAACAATTTTGAACTTAATCCCCTCTTCCCTCGGAAGCAATTTAATTCACACGAAACACTTACATTTCACACGCACTCGATATTCTTCAAAAATCGAAATTCACATTCCATCTAAACAAAAGTGTACCATACCTTCACTTCAAACGAGTCTGCATATACACGCACCGACCCAATGCCAGTCAACCAACGAAGATTCCTCCCCGCTTGCCCTAAAAGATCCTACGAAACAGGAAATCGTTGGAACAATAGCACCTCTGTGCTCTCCCGTTGATCCATTCCGCACACATCCTCATGGCACATTTTATCCCTTGGCTCTCTGTATTTGCATACCGGAGAAGTGAAATCCACGTGGAAGTCACGCGATGGGAGCTCGTCGGTGGTGCAAGTGCCCTAAAGTGTATCGTGACGCGTCGAAGAAGCGGGTCAAGTATTTGACGAACGTCGGAACTCGACAAAAGGCGACGGTGCAATTATGGCTGATTGAATGGAAGTAGAAACTCGTTCGACCGCAGTTTTACGCGCGACACGTAACAACCCGGCGTACATATTAGGATATCTGGGGCACATACGCGTCATACAATCCTGATTCCGACCGAAAAGAAAAAAAAAGGTGAAGAAGAAGAAGAAAACGTCCCGAACCGCCTCTCCACCCTCTCTCTCCTCTATCTCGTGAAACTGGGACGTGTGTGTGTCGAAAAATTTTTCCCAAACGGCATCGTTTTCTGTCGGTGGCACGTCGGAAACTCCGTTGGAGAGTCGCAACACGGAAACCGCACGCTCGACACATCACTTTACACCCTTTCACGGCCCTCGGATACGTGAATCGAGGTGTATTCATTGCGAGTACCGTGTCCCTCTGTATCGAGGGCCACGATTGCACGAGGCTACTTTGTTACCCGCGTGTTTCCGCTCGTCGCGTACAAATGCTGATCGTCGCTTTACAATTTCGACGCGTCTCTCGATTTTCGTCGGTTTTTGGGTGAAAAGAATTTTCGCGGTCTAGAAACATTCGCGATAATTAATTCGTCTTTGTTTTCCAATTTCGATCGCTTTTATTTGGAAAGAATTTTCGCAGTCTAGAAACATTCGCGATATCTAAATATTCAGATTATCAACATTGGATCTTATAAAAAGGAAAGTTATTGTCGCATATGGTGTTGGAGTAAAGAGAGAGAAATATGGACTATATTAATTCACTCCGAACCGTATCAGCTCTGTCTAAATTTGAATTTTCTATTCTTCACGTAGATTTTGCATTGTGTTTCAGAATAGTTAAAATGCGCAAATATGAATAATAAGGTCTGCTCTTTATTTGGCAAGTAAAAACAGTTGTGACATTTGGAACGTTGTGGATTAAGTAACAATTTAGGTATCAAGTGGAATTTTGTATTGATAAAATGTGGGACTCGGATATTTTGCTCTGTTCTTGTAATGTTCAGGGTGAGACGGAGAATCGGGCAAGGGGTGATCGTACGTGAAAATAAATGATAAAACTTGTTCGTTTGAAGCCCCGTTTTCGTGAAAATCAAGTTTGAATATCTATCGAGTACGTGCTCGTTTGACTATTTGTGGGTTTACTAATAAACAGTGCCAGTGTCACGATAAGTGCTAATAGTACCTTTATTAACGATTTTATTGCTTTACACGTGCATTGCTGAACGAACTGTTCAAGTTGACGTCTTTGTTGACGCATACAAATGATTTTTTTTATATCTCAAACAGTTTCGTTACCGATCAAATTATCCTGTTACATTGCTCGAGGAAGATTATGTCGTATTACGTGAACGAAAGTGTAAAATTTAGTGTACAGTGTTGTATTTGTGCTTCTACAATTACATTTCATACCAAGTAATGCAATTTTTAAGTAAGAAGCTAATTAAGCCTTCATTTTCTTCAATTCTTCCTCTTAGTTATTTAAGAGTTCGAACAGGTAGCTTCATCATTTGAAATCTTTATTTTTATGAAGTAACGAACTACTCTCGTATTAAAAAATTGCCATCTTCTTATTCAAGATGAATAGTGGACACTTTTATCCCCTAAGAAATTTAGTCGACAGCTACAAAAATAATCTTAGTACGTAATATCTTATTTTTTCACGCTATAACACCTGTCTTCTTAATTATTTCTCACTCTTAATCCATAATTATTCATCTCCAAGTTTTTCAGCGCCTTTTTCAAAATCCTCGTAATAGCAAGGTATTTTCATGTTTAATTAATTTCCTTATTCAAAATTGTTTACCCGAAAACTTGAAAACAATTGGATTGTGTGAGTGATTAAGAAAAATTTTTAATTAAACTCGACTTTCCTCCAGGCGTCCCGAATCTCTCCTTATCAAATATAAAGGTTCGCTGCGTGAACAAAATGCAAGTTTACCGAAACTCGTTCGCGTGTCCCTTTAGGCGGCCATAGAGCGTGTAATGGCTTCTAAAGAGCTTATAAATCGTCGGTTTCGAGGTTTCCCCGAAGAATTATTGATCGTAGCAAAAAAAAAAACCCTCTGTCTTCTTCGATCTCATTTTCCTTCAAAACGATTTCGAATATAGTGTCCCCCTAACAATTAGATAATCACCTTTTTGCATAAAACACAACTGTACTTTGCAAAATACACGTCTAAACGTAACTTTCTCGCCAAACAACTATTCAACAATTTCAAATCTTAAAATATTCAAAATATCGTGCAAGATTCGTAAATTCATCTCTCACGAAAGTCTCGAAACTTCAAAATCCCAGAAATTCTCGGAAGGAACGGAGAAATGGTCGGTTTCGATTATGAGAAAATTGAACGGAGTGTTTTCTAAATGGCACCGGAGTCGATATTTTCATAGGAAGAAGGGTATGAAAATGTGTCAAAAGGATTCTTCGGTCTCGGACATCGTGACGAATTAATATCACCGTAATATCGTTCTTTATTATTGATCGAGGAGGGATGTGAATCATGCGTAGTCGCAACTCGCGTCCACCGGTACCGTTGCATACTCGTAATAATATTCCGCGGTGGCGGGTTCGTATGCGATTCCACGCATGTACCTATGCGTGCATCGTGAAAAGAGACACGCCTAGGTCGGCAGCATTGTCAGGCCTGGCGCCCAAGTGACAATAAGTCCGAGGAGAAAAACCGAGGCTCCGTGAACACAGGTGTGCCTACTGGCGCAACGTCGTCCGTCTTCTTCCTTTAACATCTCTTCCATGTACAACCGATTTCGATAAGCGAGCCGTTAATAGGCACATCGAGCCACGGGCTTTTTACCGAATTATCGTACTTGAGTACATAAACGACAGAATTATATAGAAAGTTTCACGTAAAATTTTTATACTTGAGCTTCGAACCTTTGTTTAATTTCTGTAAAGTTAACTTAAACTTGGAACTTGACTTAAAATGTTTCAGACCTTTGTTAAATTTCTGTAAACTTAACTTGAAACTTAAAACTTCAATTAAAACTTAATACTTAACCAAAGAATTTCAAATGTTTGTTAAATTTCTGTAAACTTAACTTAAAACTTAAAACTTGACTTAAAGCTTAACTTAAAAATTTCAAACCTTTGTTAAATTTCTGTAAGCCTAACTTAAAACTTGAAACTTGACTTAAAAATTTCAAACCTTTGTTAAATTTCTTTAAACTTAACTTAAAACTTAAAACTTGACTTAAAGCTTAACTTAAAAGTTTCAAACCTTTGTTAAATTTCTGTAAGCCTAACTTAAAACTTGAAACTTGACTTAAAAGTTTCAAACCTTTGTTAAATTTCTGTAAGCCTAACTTAAAACTTGAAACTTGACTTAATTGTAGGTATACTTAAGTTCCAAACCTCTGTCAAAGCTCTTTTTTAAATTTATATTAAATTTTTCATTTTACGCAAATCTTGAGTAACATTCATACGCTCAGTCGAGAAAGTCTCTCTACACCTCGTTAGAATTTATCTGTTTATTTAGCGTTGTAGGTGTCATTTTAAATAAACAATGCTTACGTTATTTCATTTAGAAATATAACATTTGCTATTAGCACAAAGAGGAATGATCTACGTTCGTTTATCACGAATTAAACGAAGGAAAAAGGATAGTGTAACGGGAAAGAGATGAAACGAGCAAAGATACGAAAAATGTCTTTGAGCACAAAGATATTAAACACGATACAAAGATCTATGTCGTACAAATTCGTCGTCGCGTATTTTGCATTACAGGATGCCCTTTTACTCTGTTACAGTGCAAACAATGCGGAAAAGCTTTCAAACGTTCGAGCACTCTCAGCACTCACCTCCTAATCCACTCTGATACCAGACCATATCCCTGTCAATATTGCGGCAAGAGGTTTCATCAGAAGTCAGACATGAAGAAACACACGTATATTCATACCGGTGAGTCTCAATGCTATTAAAAGATCGAATTATATCGAACGTTCAGAATCGAAGTCGCAAGCTTTCACGATCAATCCATTTCCACTCTCATTTGGAAACTTAATTATTTCGTGTTTAATTAGTGACAAATTGGTATTTGTCAAACACTTTTTAATCAAATTGTAGAAAGTTAAAATCAAGCTTCTCTTCATTTGCATTTTCTTTCTAACATACTGAAAACAGAAACACTTACAGTCTTACAAAAAGCAAGCACATCTTGAGAATCTCTTGATATATTTTTTGAAAAAGTGTGATTAACAAAGGATGTCATTACACTATTTCTCTCTATTGATTTTTTCTGTACTTCGCAAAAGCAATTAGCTCAGTTTCTAGGATCACATTGTACGGTAATTATTGCACACCTCTCAGCCATTTCTCCTCTAAGAAACTCAGTTACTTGAATCACAGATAAAACAATCATTTGCATAAGGATACCTGAAACTTCAAAATATAATAACATATTCCAAGTATAAGTTAACGTATGAAATTCTTCAAGCAATATCGTCTTGAATCGATGGCACAACGATATATCGTCGACGCACGAAATATTCCGAGAAAACTCAACTTGAAACTTCTTTCGATGTTGATACCACTGAAAGCGCAACTAGCTTCGCGGTCGAAGGAACTTCGACGCTTGTTTTTCAATTATTCACGCAAGTCGTTTCGTTTCTAATGTGTATGTTCACTCTATTATTCGTCGAAAGCTGCCAGCATACGTTGCGAACCGTTTAAGATATTGTCCGCAACTAGAACTTATAACTTTCCTCCGTCTCTTGTCTGGTCGCGGAACTCTCGCGTCGGATCTAAGCTTGCTGAATTTTCAACTTTATTCGCCCCTTTGTCACTCGGTGAAATTTCTGAAAAGAAAAATATAGTTTTCACCTGAAAGCGACAATTTCCAAGTTCCTCTCGTTGGTTTCAGACGATACCTCTTCAACTTTTCATCGGTTCTGTCTCCTATAATTTGCGAAATTTCCGACCAGACAGTGCTTTCCTCTGTTAGGCGATATTTTTCATCTTGCTGCAATATTTTTCACGTTAAAACGAAACGTTCGTGTCAAGATCGTACTCTTTATTTCTCAATATTTAAAAAAATGTCTTTCACTTAAGTATAATTAAATTCCTCGCTACGAAACCATGATTTTCATATGAAACAAATTCGCGTCATTGCTGTCGAAAAATACTCTACTTTCCTCTTTGGGGCAATATTGTCACCTTCCTACACTATGTTTCACGTTAAAAGGAAACGTTCGCGTCACTCTCCTTACTTTTCAACATTTCCAAAGGTAAATTTCATTTAAAAATAATATATTCCACTACGAAACCATGATTTTCGTGTGAAACAAATTCGCACCATTTCTGTCGAAAAATACTCTACTTTCCTCTTTGGGGCAACATTTTCACTTTCCTGCATCAAAACGAGGTGTTCGCGTCACTCTCCTTACTTTCAACATTTTCAAAGGCAATTTTCATTCAAAAGCAATTTATTTCACTACGAAACCACAGTTAAAAAAAAAAAGGAAAAAAAGGAATAGACGAAGAACGGAGTTTGTTAAGGAAGCGATACAGCTGTCGTCGGCGAAAGAAAATTACGCTTATCGCGTGAAATGCTTGTATGTTCGCTCGGTGTGACGAGCTAGAATCGAAAAAGCCGGTGTTGTGGTTCGTCCAGTAGACCGCGCCTTTTTGATCGACGCGTCGCGACGCGTGCATGTTAATGCACACTATATATGCACGTGTAATAGAACGCATCCTCGGCACGGCGCAAAAACGCACACTCGTCGCTCCCACGTCTCGCACACGCCTGTGTACGCATCCACCTATGCACGGACTTATCGCGACACTTCCCCAGTCTCATATACCTGTGAATCACGCATGGATCGGTATAGCTTATTGCTAGAAACGTATTACGGTAGGAGCTGCGCGTTATTTGCGGTAATGGGATGGCAATTACTAAAGAGCAAATTAACATGATAGAATTTCCAAGTTTTTTATTATTTTAGTGCTTGTACGGTGTTTTGATATACAGTGGATTCCGGTTAATTGGGACACGTTGGGACCGGACTAATTTGTCCCTATTAACCGAATTTCGACAGGCAAAATCTGAACAACGTGAAAAATGAAGCGAAAAACGATTTATTGAAAAACGTATGTAATATTCGGTCCTGAATACAAATGTGTGTTTAACCCTAAGATCGGTCTTCGGGTCTTTTTTGACCCACCGCCTTTTTATATTTTTAGTGATCAAGTTTACGTTCCTTAGCATTGTTTTAAACGTTGATTATCTAGGTTCATATGTCGCGCTGGAAAGGGAAATTATTACACATAAGGTCTTAGGTCCTTTTTCACCCAAAAATTTAAGTGAACAGTCGAAACGAAGACCGCACTAGGGTTAAGCATGCAAACAAAGCTAACAATAAGTAATAAAATAACATTAATAAGTAATCAAAAGAAGTAAATAAACACGTATTTATATTCCGTTCTTCAGTATCTGCCCCAAATAAACGGCGCGGCGTCCCAATTAACCGGAATCCGCTGTAATAGTTATTTTGTAATTATTCGGTTCGATGATAGGTATATATTTGAAAGAAGGTGCAAATGAAAATTAGAAAAAAAAAATTGGTAAGGAAGAATCTTTCAGTCGGTAATGTAACAATGTTTGTTAAGAAACGTAATTTATTATAATAGAATTTTGATAAAAATATCATTTTCGCACTTCTATGGTATTTTAATAGGCATTTCACAATTATTTGGTTCCATGATATATTTGTAATATTAAAATAGTAAACAATATAATGGGTGATCTACATTGAACAGGTGAAAATGTTTAAACGAAAGTGAAAATTTAAAAAATCTTTCATTCGGTAAGATAACAATATTTGTTAAGGGACATAATCGTTTCATAGTTTAAAGAATTTATTTATTTATCGCCTACATTTCCGTACAAACGCGTTTAAATTGACTAACGTACCGGCAAATTATTCGAAACGCTAAGATATAAAAGAGGAAAGGGCCAGGTTTGATTAATTCAGATCGGTAGTCCCGTAAGCCGGAAGAAGAACAGATCAGCATAATGAAGCCAGATTAGCTTGAAATTTGATTGGTTAAAACCATATGCGTTCCAGTGGAACACGACGTACTTTTAACTGAGAATCATGCAGATACACGTGTCGTATACTCTCTCGTATTCTATTACAAACATCAAAGTACGTTACTTGAATAAAAATTTCGAGAATTCCTAAAATTTGGCGAAATTACAAATTCACTGTTTCCTTTCGCAGCGTTAAAGGTAGAAAAGGATATAGGCAAAGTAACGTAAAACTCTTTTCTTTCGCGCATTTCACGATTCCTTGACACATTAACGCGTTTATGTATTAGAAAGTATGGTTCCACGAAGGTGTCCGCGATATCTGTCACACGTAGTCTCTAATTAATTAGAATTGACCGTGAACGCGTTCAGCATTTGTCATAAAGATGTACCTACACGTATATTCTCTCGGGCAATACCTGCTACACCGATGCGTTTAACGTGCACCTTCGTTCTTACCCCCTTATAATTTACCGAACGTTATCTACAATTTGCTAAGAAACGCTAAGTAAAACGAACGCAATAGTGTTATGCGATACTCGATTTTGCCGTAAAATCGTCGTGAAATATGCAAACCCTCTGACAATGAGTAAGACAGCCGCTATTAGTGGAAAAGCAAATTGAAAGGAGGTTACTGATATTAAAGACGGGAAATTGTTAATAATATCGGTACGGAAGCTATCTCTCAGTCTGATTTCACTTTGCTTTTGATATTTATTGTAGTCGCAAACACTATAAGTATATATCGCGTAACTATCACTTTCCTCTACGGTTTAAATTGAAGATTTGTGGATCTTTTTGCAATTTTCGATCACTCGATATTTCCTATCCTCTGTAATAAATATTCGAATCTTCCTATTTTCTATAATAGATACCCAAATATTCCTATTTCCCATAATATTTTAATAGAATATTTGTCAACGATAACGTAATATTTATTTCAGAAATTTTATTCATTTCGTGAACTTTAATATATATCTTACAAGAATAAAATTCGTCGAAATAAAATTCATCGTATTTCCTGAAATAAATGCTTCAATTGGCAAAGTGGCAAAGAATAACAAGGAAAGCGAGACAAAGCGAGGAATATGGAAATAAAAAGAAAGGAAGAAAAACGGTAAATTTAGTCGAAGAAGAAATCTTGAACTCGCAAGGGGATCGGTTGGGGACGATTTAATCATCCGATAGAAGCGACCGGAAGGAGATATACCTACTGCTGATGAGAAACGTGTTGTTTGTCACGGTCCGAGGAAGTTTCCGGTTAGGCACGTGGCCGGCACGCGGATCGCGTCCCTTTTTAACTAGCACTGGGCATCATCGCAAGGGCTGAAACGTGTGCTTTGAGACACCTCCTTTTATCCGTTCTCGTAAACGTTTCTGCCCTCGTTTCACAGGACAACCATTAATGCGTGTTTAATCGTTGTTGGAAAACCAGCAAACAATTAATGTTTCTAGGTTTCGAGAGCAGATCGAACGTAACGAGTTAACTTCGAATTTAGACCTGTGATAGGAAAGTACGAAATATCGAACTTATTCAGAATTTCACGAATAACCAGATATTTCATTCGCACTTTGCTAATATCTTCTAAATGTATTTGAACAATTTCAAACTACAGTAAACTTGGAAGAGCAGCAAATATAACGATTAATGTCTCGAAAACAGACCGAACCTTACGAATTAACTTCGAATTTAGAACTGTGATAAGGAAGTACGAAATTTCGAATTTATCCAGAATTATCAAATGTTCGATCAACAACTTTTTTTTAACATTTTCCTGAAACTGTTGTAACGCAACGACGGATTTAACCGTGAGAGGTGGGACCGCAGAAAAGAAACACACTTGACAGGCTTCCTCCTGCATAGGAGAACTAT